TGTGAGATATACCAGTTGTTGTGGTATATATATAGAAATTTAAAATAGAATATAAAATAGAAGAACGATTTTTTACGAAAGTGAAAAATAGCACGAGAAAATTCACACCAGAAAACAGTAACACAACGGAACACACAGATTTACGTGGTTCGGCAAATTGCCTACGTCCACGGAGTTGCAAAAGATTTTACTACTTGAAAAATTTACACCAGTCGATCGTTTTGACTTACAAAAGGAATCTCTCACTTTATTGCTCTCTTCTTCTCTTTCTGTTCTTCTTTCTCTACACCGAGATACACCGAAGAAACTTTACACCGAGATACACCGAAGAAGATAAACTTATAAGAGAAATAAATCCAATTTCTCTTCTGTCACAAGTCATCAAGAAGAAGTTAAGGGAGAACAATTTTCTTTTTTTTTTCTTCTTCCTTCTATCGTAAGGAATTACTGCTTGCACTTCTCTTCCACTCTCTTCCGTGGAATCCCTTCCACTGCCTCGTGAAAATCCGAGAAGAACAAAGAAAGGTTGTGACTACTATGAATGAGAGCCCTGTGATACCTCTTATCGTGAACAGGTAGGCGTGACGATTCGTGAAACGGTAGAGTTGGGAACAGTTCCTCTGTCTCGAACGACGCCAGGCGGGAGACATCTTTTGCGATCGGGCTCGGGAGCGGGAGATCGGGAGGCAGGAACGAGATTAATCGGGTTCCAGCTTAACAGCTTGAATCTTTAACAACGCATCAAAAATACCAATTATATAATGTTTAAAGTAGAGCATATTATTTCTTTCATTTGTTTTAATGTGATTCTGCTGCTAAAATGGGAAACTAAATCTCAAAGTTCATGTTTTAGATATGAAAATACATTAAGAGTTTTGTGGTATGCATGTAAATCTCACTTAGTTTGTATTACAAAGTATTTTGGGTCTATTATATGTTATGCATTTAAGTCTTAAATGGTAAAAGAGTTTGGGAAATTTGTATAAATGCCACACTAGTCATATGTGACATCTAATTTTTATGTATTTATGTGAGAGCTAATTTTTTATATTTACCTCCATAGCACTTGAATCTTTAACACTCATGAAAATTACCACTAGTATTATTTTTTAAAGTAAAGTCTATTATTCCATGCATATGTTTTGGTTTTGGTGTGTTTAAGATACTAAAATATTATGCAAGTTATCAAAATTTAAGTTTTAGATATGAAAATGCATAAGTGTTATGTGATATGTATGTAAATCTCATTTTGTTTAAATAACAAAGTACTTTGGGTCTTTTTCATGTTATGCATAAGTCTTGGATAATAAAAGAGTTTTGGGAGATGGCATGCATACCACACAATGCATTTGTATTTTTACATATCTAGCACATAAAATTTGATATTTACATTTATAACACTTTGGTGACATAAACTTATGCATGAAGATATATACTTCACTTTCAAAAGTTAATAGTAGTGATATTTTGATGTGATATTAAAGGTTGGAGTGAATGTTTGTAAATAGGAGAGTTTAGGTGTTAGATGTGTACATACATAAGAATTGTGTTCTATGTCAGTGAATGCCCCAAAGATTTTTATACAACCAAATCCAGTATGGGAAAATTGAAAGATTTTTAACAAAATTAAGGATAAATTAAGAGATTGAGAAATGATTATACTTGAAACTATTTATTATTCTTATTTTTGCAGGTTAACGGTAGCCTACTTCCTGCTTCAGTAATCTCGCTTTACTGCACCTACCTTTGCTACAACGGACTCTCGAGTGAGCCACGGGATTATGAGTGTAATAATCTTCACAATCACTCAAAAGCTGTCTCTACAGGAAGCCTTGCCATTGGCTTGCTCACCACCGTCCTCTCCGTCGTGTACTCTGCTGTCCGTGCCGGTTCTTCTACCACTCTTCTCTCCCCTCCGGCTTCTCCTCGTGCCGGTGAGACTGACTAATTTGATTTTTTCAAGGGGCATTTACATACGTAGCACCCAATTCATGTATGTTTACATATCTAACAACTAAACTTTACTTTTTATATTTATACCATCCAAATCATTCACCACATAAAAATACCACAATTTTAACATTGAAAAAGTTAAATACATCTTTTCATACGTAAGGTGACATGTGTGTAAATATTAAAGTTTAGGTGATAGAAATGTAAATACATTAGAATTGAGTGTATGCATGTAAATCTTTCTTTTATCATTTTTTTCCTAAAGCAACAATCGCTAAACATTTTCTAATCTCTCTTCATTTATAGGTTCTGATAAGCCGCTACTCTCCTTCGACAAGATAGAGGAACAGGATGGGAAGAAAGAAGAGTCGGTTCCGGTCTCGTACTCGTATTCATTTTTCCATCTAATCTTCTCTTTGGCGAGCATGTACTCTGCAATGCTCCTCACCGGTTGGTCGAGTTCCGTCGGCGAGACCGGGAAGCTGATCGATGTCGGATGGCCATCGGTGTGGGTGAGGATCGTGACAGGTTGGGCTACAGCTGCACTCTTCATCTGGTCTCTCATCGCTCCCATTCTCCTTCCAGATAGGGAGTTCTGATGGTTTCAACCTCATCTCATCTCATCTCATCTCATCAAAACATTAATAATCTGATTGACAAACTGTATTTACTTTATGGAGAATTTGTGAGGAGTTTGCTTAAAATCTGAACTGAAGTTTTTGTTTGTTTGTTTGTTTGATGTTTGGTGCTGCTAATGAGTGAATGCTATGATCTTCCCTTGATGGCTTTGTTATTTGAAATGAATATTTTCTCTGCTAAAAATCATCTTGTTGCTTTTATGGGCTTCTATGGGACTTATAAAGTAGTTGCTTTTTCAAGTTATTTGATCTTGAGTTACCTCATTTCTCTCTTATAAGTCTTATTATATTGTTCAAATGTTAATAGTTCTTATATAATTTATAGTTCTAAGATGAAATAAATGCATGTTTTATTATTTTTATTAAGAGATGCGCAAATTTTATGTATTTACATTATAACAACTAAATTTTAGATTTTTGCATTACAAACCTTTTTTATTTTTTTGATGGTTAAAATATTGGTATTTTTGATGTTATATGAAAGATTTGGGTATTTTTTAAATATAATGAGGAAAAGATGGGAGTTAGATATGGAAATACATATAAATTAGGTGGCTTTTATTATTATTATTATTATATTCCTTGGCACTTTTAAGATATTTTTTAATATTATATGTAATATTTTAATGGGAGATTACTAAGTACAATAAAGGGGTGAAACCATGAACTCATGTGATTATTACAAATATTGAAAATTAATTTTAGAGCATTTACCCATAGATTATTAATCTCTTAAAAGTAAGGTATATCTTTTCATATATATGTTTTATGACACCAAAATATTATAGTATAAGTATTGAACTTTCGATCTTAAATATGTTAATACATAAGAATTGTGTGGTATGTACATAAAATTTTCATTAATTTAATAATTTATTTGAGCTCAACACAATAAATGCTTAGCCAACCACATAATGTGCAAATGATGATGCTCTAGAATGAGGATTTATATCATATTTTTCTTAAAATATAAAAGATGTTGATTTGTTTTAGACCACTAGAGTTTCAAGATCCCAAAAAAGAAAATAGAAGAAGGGAACACAATAATTTGAATAAAATTAATTATTATTTCTATATATTTTTATATGCTAAGCTGAAATGACATTTGAAGCAATAATAGAATTTGATTTGCAAAAATACTACTGAAATAATAATTAAAGATGCTTCAATTTTAATATTACAATTTTATTTGTGTTAGCAAACTAATATTAGAGTTAGTCTAAAAAATGATTTATTTTTCGTTAAAAAAAGAATATCCCTCTTGAGCTCAAATTTGTCTGAAAATCAAATACGAGGAATAGAATATGCGCACAAGAAGACAACTCCATTATAAGTCTTATTATAAAAATAATATCTCTATTGAAATCACACACGAGGAATAGAACATACACACAATAAGAGAAGAGCAAGAGAGTTGATGAAAAAGAGGATTTGTAAATTTCTATTAAGATTCCTTGGTAAATTCAAAAAAGGAATGCCTTTCATGTTGCACACAACCTCCTATACATCGGAGTCAACCCTACATTTTTTTGGGGGAAACATTACACTATCTCAAATAAACAGAATTCATTCCAGGGGGATTCCCTAATTTGGTCATATACAATTATTACTTCCTCTAAATTATGGAAGACTCACATTCCTCAGAGGACGCCTACAGTTATCCTCTTCCAACTTTGCTTTAACTGGCTGAACCTATCTTTGAATTGCAGAGTTACGAGATTTAGTTTCATCTGTTTGTATCGGGAGCCTATGTTTGATCAACTAATTCTTTGGGGTGCTTTAACTTGCCAGTTGGTATTGTTCCGTAAATCTGAGATGACCATCTTCTTTCGTGTCCCATGGCCATCTTTTCCCTTGCCCTAGTTGGTTCGATCCGACCTTCATGGGGCTGCTTTTTGCTATACTTGTTTGGTTCCCCGATTCTCTTGCTTCTTCAATTTAGAACTGTGAAAACAATGAGAAAATAAGAATTCTTTAGACTGATATTTACATTTTATTGTGGTTTTCAATTTGGTAAGAGATTTCAGAGCACAAAGATCAGCACTTCCATTATAAATAGTTGTACACATTTGCCTCTTTATGATATGCAAAACTCTTTATTTTGTCATGTGCATTTCATGCAACTTTTTGACTGATTGCAAAGGAGGTTGATTTAGTTAGATTCATTGAAAAATGGGGATTGGAGGCTTAAAACTTCTTGAGGTGGGCGTTGTTCTTGGTCTTCCTCTGCCTGGACCCATCGTGGAAAGTTCACAGCTGAAAGGGGGTCAACCAATGCTAACCATCTTCCATGTGCTTTTGAATTCAAAGGATGAGAAAGAAAGAAACCAAGGAAGCGACTAGTTTCACCAGCACTGCCCCAAAAAGTGAGCCTTCAATGATCTTTAATGATCTACGGACACCAATACAATATTTTTTTGCTTGCAAGTCAAACCTTTCAGTGAGTGTGACAGATCTACAAGCTTGCGAAAAATAAAGAGGAACTTTACTCATTTGCCAAAAAACTTGAGTTTGGTGGTTGGGGTTGGAGCAAGTGGAAACCAACACGCCGGGTCTTCAGAACAAGGTTATGGACTTGGATGAGGATGTTGTGGAGCTGAAAGAGCATGTAGCTACTCTTGAATAAAAAAATAGAGATCAATTCAGAGGATCTTCTTGGGATACATCAAGATCTTGCTGAAGTAAAAGCTAAGTTGCTTCTTCTTCAGCAGCGACTGGAGCCCCCTGTCTCTAAACCATTCTTTTTGGCAAGAGATTCATTCTAAGGGGCTCCTTTATGTCAACAATATTTCTATAGATGACATTAGAGTCAACTACCTTGACCTTTATTATGATTGATTGTGTATAAATTTAAGGCGTTGAGGTTGCCCGAATGTTTTTGGAGAAAGCTTCTTTGTAATACTGATTTTTTTTATGTAAAAATTTCAACTTTAGGTTTTGCAACATTTTTATTTTAAAGTCAGCCATGTTGAAATGATTGACGATAATTTTTTTTTTTGTTCCCATAAATCCACTAGTGTTGTCTTTCATGTTTTGGGAAGAGTTGATCAACAAGAATACCACTAGTGTTATCTTTCAAGTTTTAGAAAGAGTTGATCTAGCAAGAATGAGATAATTAATTTGAGCAATAATTACTTCTGGACCAATCATAATTGTTGAAATGTAAAAGTTTTAAATACTTCATTGATATCCAAGTCTTGTACTCTATAAATAACTTTACAAGAGCTCCCTCAAATCCTTACATTTTTCCTTGACTCCCTACTTTTATCTATTTGACACATTCTAGAGGCAGTTGCTTAAAATAATAATGAGATAAAATACTATGAGACCTCCAAGGTTCCTCTTTGGTAGTCCTTGGCATTATAAATGTGTTTGTTCAAGTTGATACATTGTCCATACACCAGGGATCTCACATCCATCTTAGGGAATTGTCCTGGGAACTTAGTGGACTAAACCATGTTGATGCTCTATGTGTGTGTGTGTGTTTGCGGGAGTGGGGGTTCGGGGGACTTGGAGTGAGGATCCCACAAATTCAAATGCATTCAATAGACTAAAGGTGTCAGGTATGGAATGACACTATGTCTTGCTTAAGTCATCTTATTTAATGGGCATGGTTTCTTATACTTCTCACCACCTCAGGTTACTACCTAGTTGATTCAACTTCCTTGAATTTAAATGAGCTTTCGAGCATAATTTCAGGTAGAGGGGAGTGAGAGAGCAAGGGATTTACATCCCCTAGTTATGAAGTCGGGGGCGACCAAGCAGGCACCGAGGCCCTTCCTGCTATTGATGTGCAAGATGACCAACCCGCGATTGTCCCCAAAGTGACATGTTTTTTTATTGTTAGTTTTCATAAGCATGCAGATAGTGCAACTTCAACCAAGATGCTCGATTGTATGGCCTGATTGGCAAGTATGGAATGAGAAGCTGGACTTTAGAAGCAATCAAAGGCCCTTTTACAACATGAGAATATGAAGCTAAAATAAAACTGCTTGGTCCTCCAAGCATAAGTAGACTCGAAGGTATTTAAGTTAGTTTAGGTCTGACAGAGAGTTTGTTTTAAGAAGACTTACCCGCCTTGGTTGTTTCCCGACTGAGGTCATGTCTGACTCTTGCCTAATGTTTTTCCTTCAATCCGACTAATGTAATGTTTGTTAATAATTATAAAAAGTTTTTTTTAACTGTGGCATTATGATGTTTTGATTTTTGTGCCCCTTCTCACAATGTGATGCTTGTTATAATACTTAGGTTTTGGTTATTTGTATTTTCTATTTTTGCCTTTGTAAGTTTTTGGCATCTTTCGCCTTTCTGTCCCTCTATAAAAATAGATGTTTTGATCATGAGGATTTTACTCTATCATTTTGGTTTGTCGTTTCCTTCTACTTCCAGCTACCCATGGATTCATTTGCTCACTCTTCCTCCTCTTATCTCATTATTGGTACATCGTCCAATTGTCTAAGAGTTTGTGCCTCTTTTGAGGGACCCCCTTTCTGTGTTGCTTCCTGCCGACCCCCTCCGATTCAACAAAACCCATTAAGTTTCTCATAAAGAGACTTCCTGTGCTATCAACAATGGATGTTGTGCAGGCAGATCAACACTATTTTACTGAATCTAATACGAAGGGTAGTGTCAGGGCCTCTTCTAATGTTTTATCAGTTGCCTTGTACAAAAGAATATTTTTTGTTAGTAATGGAATGAAATGGTTGTTTTGTGTTCATTCATTCAGTTTTTGGGTAGCATCTATTTATCATAATAATTTTATTTATTTATTTCATTAAGTAATTAGGTTTTTTTGTGGTTAATTAATTTTCTCTTTGGATCGTACAACTGATTAATCATGTTTGGGCCCGTTTCAAGTGTTATGCTAACCGTACTATTTTACTCTCTGTTAAGTCTTGGCCTTGGATAGACCATGCTTTTTGTCAGTCTTGTTAAGAGAAATTTGTCATTGTCTTCATGGAGGTAACTATCAAGTCTTGTTATTGGCAATTCAGGCTCCACTCACCACATATCTTGTCGCGAGTGAGGGGGTAATTCAGTGTCTGAGCTTGACATGTGTTCTAAGCTTGATTAAAGGGGTTATATGCTGCCTACGCATCATAGGATGAAGAAACGTTGAACAAATAACAAGTTATAACACCCTATTTTAGATCTCTTATACCTCTCGTACCACTGTTAACAAGG